ACCGCACCCTTTTCGAACCACACCTTGCGGAGTCGCTGACCCTCGTCGCCACGGCCTGCCGCAGCTCGGGGAACCCGGCGCGTTTGGACCCCAGGAGGGGTCTGGGGGCCGATTTGGAGCTGCCAGGTGACTGGAAGAGCTTGGCGGCGCGCACGCCGAGGCCTCCCACGATGGTGTCGGAGGATCGAACTGCGTTGCCGATGCATCGGCGACGTCGGGTGACGCCGCCCCGCGCTCCCCTCTCCCTCCTGACCCACCGTTAGCTTCCCTCGCCTTCCCATTGCCCACCCTCCACCCCTCCCCTGTTCTCATACACCTCACGCCCCCCTCCTGCCCGCCCCCCCCCCCCCTCCACCCCCTTATCCTTGCCCCCTGCCCTTCCATTCCTCCCCCGATTCCCTCCCACCAGATCCTCATACCTTCCACTCGTTCTCTATCTCCTCTCCCTGTCCTCATTGGTTCTTCATGCAGACCCTCATGCGATGTGAACAGAATCGTGTCACTTGCAGGCCTGCTTCAATACAAGTGTCCATGAAACATGAGTTCAGCCTTCCGTAGCGATTTGGGCTCAGGTTGGCGCAAGCGTTGCCCCCTGCGTGTGGGCCGTGCGGGGCGCCTGCCCACAGCCGCGAGATGGGCAAGCCGTGGACGTTGACTCTCCCTGGTGTGCTGACGACAGTACGCAAGCACCAGCCCGAGCCGCGAGAGGTGTCGGCCCCTGAGCGTTCGCGCGACTGTCATGCGCCTATCAAGAGCTACATCTTGGATAAGCTCGTGCCAGATTCGCAGAATAACACAATCAAATCACACGTGGACATTTTCGTCTTGGATGCAGTCGTTGGCGGGAAGTGTGCTGTGTAAGATCTGTGACATATTGTTGTTGAGTGCTGCGGGGCAATCGTCAACAGCCAGATCCGGCAATGTACACAACTTTGAAGGCAGCTGAGGCACAGCCTGACCAAACCTTTTTGGGGGTGTCGGCGAAGTGGACGCGGAGCCTTCTCCGTGTCGCATATTTGACCTTCCAATGCATGTTTTTCGGGGAACCGTGCCGAGCGATAGAGTCGTTCTGCGTCCCCTGTGTGTATTATAAGACTGCGGCTGATGTAGGAGCACTGCTGCATCACACACTGCGAGGCATCGCAGGGTGAATTTCTTTCCCAAGGGGCATTCATCACCACATGACACATGAATGCTCTCACTTGCCTGGTGCACATACGGCGACTGAGCCTGGTCGGTGTCTGACGCTGGTAGACCGATCGGGCAAATGAAACATGTTCTCAGCTTTCTTGGTGCCACCGGTGAATCATATGCCGAGGTACCGGGGGCACGGGCCCCACTTGTGCGTGTGGGCGGGGAGGTGCCATCGTCGCCATCGTCGTCGTCGTCGTCGACGTCGTCGTCGTCACCGTCGTCACCGTCGTCTCGTCGTCGTTTTCTTAGCAGTTTTCGTCGTCGTCCTCGTCGTCGTCATCGTCGCCGTCGTTGTCGTCGTCATCCCCCGCCCATCCCGTCTGCGGAGGGTCGCCCAGGGAATTTTGGGCCCATCCCATGCAGGGGGTGCCCTGGGCCCAGAGCCCAGGATCGTAAATGCACCCGAGAAGCCAGCGTCGTCGAACTTTAGCCGGTGCTGGTGCGACCAGCTGAGGGGCCTTCTGTCGGGCTGAAGAGACGGGGGTCTGTGCAAACGGGGGTCAGTCAGAGCGTCAGATCTTACAGGATCCTGCAGAGCCAGGGTTACACTGACTACTTGACCTGGGTTTGGGTGCAAGATCCTTCAGGATCCTGCCTGCAGGATATTGCAGGATCCTGCCAGGCCTGATTGACCCGGGTCTGCATTGTCCCCGGTCAGTAGATCCCCAGTTCTGGATTTCGTGACACCGTGGTTTGGCCCTGGTGGCGTGCGCTACGGAGCCAGACTCGGGCCCATCTCTTCTTTGTTCAGCTCCTCATCCTCCTGTCCTCCGGCGGATCCAGCGAAGCGCCAGAATCGTTGAACAATTCTTCAAGGTTCCCTTACAGCTCGCCGGGACCCAAACATGTGATTGCCGTAGTTCCTACCGCCAACCCTGAAGGAGCTCCAGAATCGCCCCTGCAATCCCCATTGGCAACTTGCGACGCGAGTTCGGTGGGCGCGGCTAGAACCTAAGCGCGCGCGAAGCGCCTGCGCGTGATTCTAGTGCAGAAGATGTTGACGTCGGAATGCGGAAAACTAAAGCATACCGTGGTTTTGTATAATTGAATTTCGTTTCTAATATCTTACTTGGTACGTCTAGGAGCGCATTCGGGGCACTCGCATTGGCTCGAGGGCGGTACATCAGTTTCCGTATTACATGATTTCACTCCGTTGGCATTGGCCGTATCGCAAACAGTCCCATTGCAAGCGCCAAGCATCAACTGCAGCAGTAGTGATGTGATGTATTTGTGCAGATGAACAGGAGCATTCTAAAAAAGGGCCTCGCCTTCGAGTATCAAAGGGGGGTGACATCTATTTTTCGGCGGAAGTCGGCGGACGTGAAAGGGGGTGACTCTGCCGGCGGAAGCCTGCGGAAGTAAAAGGTGCGCCCCCAAGAGATGTCAAGGTTGTTTAGATCGAGGTCTCCAGAGCCGACCGTATATGTTTATTATGTGCATGTGTATGTCAATCTGGTTTTGACACGAATGCCCTGGCAGTTTCAAGCTGCAAAGCCGCCGACGGGACGCCCCATCACGCGCATAGCCAGCCATGGGCAAGCAGAGCGCTCAGGACGAGGACCAGTAGATGAACAGCACGGGGGGCATGGTGCAGCGAGTTCGGTCGAAGTCTGTCGGCATGCCGATTGGGGAAGGCAGAGGGAGTTGGCCTTCTCAGAAGCTCGGAAGGCCTCGTGCCCTGTGAGGAGCTGTCTGAGCCTCATCCGCAGCCACAGACGGCCTTTCAGAAGGCCGGATGGCTTCTGAGAAGTCCCGCTGCCTTCTGAGAAGGCCTGCCCCCTTCTAGCTCCCTCCCTCGGCGCCGCCGAGAAGTGATCATGTATCGCTTGAGTCACAGCTTGTACCTCTGACCCGTCACACTCAATCGCTTGATTTCGGGACTATCGCCCCTCGCTTTCTCTTGCTGAGCGAGAGGATGCCTGAGAGTCCGCCTGCCTCGTTGTGTTTCTGGTGGGAGTCTTGCCATTACAAGTCCCACCCCATCGATTCGCGGCCGTGAGCATTCTCACCAATGGGAGAAGCAGTGATTTCAGGGTGGTGTCTGTTGCTGGTTTATGATATTAGTTGAGCTGCGTGTTGAATATCATCTTGCGGTACGGTGCTTCTACTATGGGTTTGAGGTCTGAATCAGTAGTGCCGTGTTACTGTTGTTGCACCTCTAAGGCCGATCTCGAGCGTCTCCGAGTGTGCGATCTGGCCTGAGCGGGGTCAACGTGGGAGCCTTCGGAGCTGGTTCTTCTTGTCGGTTGGCGGGGGGAGGAGGGCTAAGGATCGGGAGAGGGGGCACTTCGTGATGGCGCATGCGCTCACCACCGCTCCAACACAAGAGGGGGAGGCAGGGCATGAGAGAGAGCAGGACGCGAGGCGGAAGGGACAGCGTGACCGACAGAGGGGGGGAGGGGAGCTCGCAGGCCAGGAGCTCGGGGGAGATGGGGCGGGAGAGGAGGGGAGAGGGGGGGGGAATAAGGCGATGGAGGAGACAGGACCAGCAGGAGGGGAGAGTGGAGCCGAGGAGGGGAGAGTGGAGGAGAGGCGGGCACCGACGCGCAGGCGCCGGGGTAGACATCCCTGCCGAGCTTCCGCCGCGCCCGGGGGATCCTCCCCTCCCTGCCCCCCCGTGCGGCGCCGAGAGGTGCCCGCCCCCCGCAAGGGGCTCCGGCAGCAGTCTCCAGAGGTGATGGCAAGCTTTCGTCGTCGTCGTCGGCGACTGGATGCAGATACTCCAGATTTCGTAGTAAAAGGGAGGGGGTCTGGACCCTCCAAGACAAGCCATTTCAGACCTCCCCCGTGGGAGAACCCTCCAAAACATCGTCTCCAGACCCCCCAGGCCCTCCAAGATAGCCTGGAAGAGACCCCCCCCCGAAATGAGACCCCCCTCCCTTTATTACGAAATCTGGAGTACTGTGATCCCGTCGTGATCTGTCGCCGTCGACGGTCTTCGGCTGACTTTCTGGCGGTGTGGGTCGTCTCTGGGCGTTGGCTCGAACCCGCGAGGCGGACCTTCTGTTCGGCCTGCCACGAAAGGGGTGACGCCCGTGCACGGATGCATCTTGAGACGTGCCGAATGCAGCCGCGACGACGCCGTTGCAAGCAAAAGTGCCCGATGTCCCTCCCCCAGTGGACCGGTTTTTGTTCTAACATCACGGAGCCGGCTTTTAATCCTCGCTGGTTTGGGCGCGAGAGCTTCCGTGTGCAAGGCAGTTAGCGTTGAGACCAGTTTTGCCGTCGGGGCTCATCAGTCATCCAGAGTCGCAGACGGCAGCAGTGAACGAGCGATCTGCAATCAAGGTGCGGGGCATTTTTCTTGTCGACCCCCGGACCCCCCAGGGGCAGAAAGCTCATGATTCAGGCCTCGGAAAAAATAGCGAACACTCATGCCACATTCATCTGTCAACGCCTCCCCCTCCCCCCAATGTTCAAAGTTGGCGGTGGGTCTGATGAGTTGCGCCTCGACCGCAGTCTCCCCCACGCGTGCCAACTTTGAGTCTGGGGGGCAGGGGGGGTGCTCCAGGGAACACCCCGCGGGGCCCGCCGAACTCGCGGCCCTGCTCTTTGCAGGGGGGCCAAATGGGGGGGGGGGGGGGGTCCTCGTTCCTCCTCTCCCTCTTCGTCCCTCCTCCTCCTCCTCCTCCTCCTCCTCCTCCTCCTCCTCCTCCTCCTCCTCCTCCTCCCTCCTCCTCCTCCCCTTTTTCCTCCTTCTCCTCCTCCCCTTTTTCCTCCTTCTCCTCCTCCTCCGCTAATTGTCTCCCTCTACCGTTCGTCCCCCCCCCACGGGGCGCGAGCCGAGCAGAGCGCTTCGAGGGGAGCCCAGCCGTGGCGACGAGGCATTGCGAGCCCCGTGCCGCGCAGAAATGGCTCACCTCCCGAAGGGGCCCACGGCAGTCTCTGCGGGGGACCTCGGGGCCCTCACGTTTTGACGAAGACCCTTCCCTCCTTTTCCCCCCCTTCCTCCTTCTCCTCGTCCTCGTCCTCGTCCTTTCCCCCCTTCCTCCTTCTCATCCCCCCTTCCTCCTTCTCGGGACCCTCTCTCCTCGTCCTCGTCCTTCTCCCCTTCCTCCCTGAGTGTGGTGGCGTTTACCCGGCCGGCCAATTCACAGCCCTGCGGCCATCGAGTCATATACGTGAGCGCGGTGATAGCCCCCTTGAGGGGAAGCGGATGTGGCGCTCCGTCGAACTGGTCTTGCCCATGGACGGGCATCGTGTGCTTGTGTTCGCTGGGGGAGAACAAAAATTGACGAAGACTGCCCCCCAAGATTCCATACAGCAAGATGTCTTATCGCATCAAGACCCCTGGGTGTTTTCTCGTGCCGTGGACCCCCCCTTGGAGACCTTGGCCCCTTCCCAGGGGCAGTTCTTCCTTCCTGAGGTATTTTCTGCCGGCTTGGAGGGCGAACACTGCACTCGAATGAGTGTATGTTTTTTTTTCTCTCGACGCGAGGGGGTCTGGGCATGCGTCCACTGCATATAGCGACGCAAGATAGTCCTACCCGCTCGCGGACACCAGCGGCGGCGGCAAGGAGCTCGCGGTGGCGGACTACCCCCTGCCCGGCCCCGACGAGGCCAGCGCCCTGGTCGACCTGGCGCGCGGCCGCCGGCGCAGGCCGCCCGCGCGGCGCGGGGCCCTCGGCGGCCCAGACAGCGGCGCCGAGAGCTCTGGGCGCTGCGATGGTTCCACACCGGGCGTCTCCGCCTGGCTTCGGGCCCCGGGTGTGTACGCACAGGCCGATCTCAGCGGCACCGTAGCGGGTACTCACTAATGGGTACTTTGGAGGTGTGTTGAAAGTTGCCGCTTTAGGGCCTCTTTCTGGCATTGCAGCGTTGTCCACATCGGGGAGTGTTGGGTTCGCCGGGCCACTGGCCAAAGTACCCGTTAGTGGAGTCCCCGTTAGAGGGGCGCTGACGATCCGGCCCGAGGAGGTGCTGCAGGAAAGGGGGGTGTCCACAGAGGGCCCGGGCCGCAGCCTCCTGCGAGGCGGCAGCTCCTGCTCGCAGCGCCGGACCTCAGGGCGCCGGCGACGGCTGCGGCGGCGGCGGCCGCAGCGGCGGCGGCGGCGGCGGCGACGACGTCGGCCAACGAAGCTTGAGGAGCTCGGGCAGCTCGGGCCGGACGAAAGGGGGGGTCTAGGAAAGGGGGGGTACGAAATTTGCTGCATGCGGCTGTTCTCGGCCCCACTGAGGTGCCCGTTCCTCGATACGTAGCCGCCTCCGGCGCCGGGAGGCGCCGGGAAAAGCAGCCACGTGAGCTGATTCTCGAACCCCCCCTTTGCTATCCCCCCCTTTCGCCCGACCCGGGCAGCGCCAGCCCTCTGCTGGGCCTCCAGGGGGCGCCGCGTCGCCGCAGCCGGGGGGTCCGCCTCGAGAGGCGCTGGGCGAGGCGCTAACCCCAGGAGATGTCCAGCGGGCGGCGGGCACGGCTGGCGGCGGCGGCGGCGACGCTCGGCGGCAAGGACGACGAGGGTGCGTGTGGCGCTCCAGGAGCGTCAAACACGGCCTCGACTTCGGCGCCCCGTCGTCGGGGAAAAAAACACACACGTGGGGAAAAACACACACAACACACACACAAACAAAACACACACACACACACACACACACACACACACACACACACAAACACACAAAAAAAACGTACACAACACACAGACACACAAAACACACGTGTCTTTTCCCCACGGGCGGAAGCTGGCGGGAGTATTTCTGGGGCCCCCCAAAGGAGTGATTCCCGCACCGCGTGGTGAATCGGAAGGGGCTCGGGGCCATCTCGCGGTCTTGGGACGCGAGTCGTTCTCCGAGGATGGACGTCCCGGGCGACCAGGGCCCGCAGGGTCACAACACCGTGCGTTGACGGACCGCGTGGTGAGGTTTCGTGGGATTTCGATGTCATCACGCTGTCTGTGACCACACGGTTTTGGGACCCCCAAGATGATGTATACAGTCGGACCGAGGCAGAAGATCGACGTCGGTTCGGGGAGGGTCATATTCTTCGTGTTTGTTGGATCCTCGTGTGCGTCCTGGTGAGGGTACTCTTGGATGTTCTGTGTGTTTTTGCTGGCGGAGGGTCTCATATTCTTGAAGGATGCTATCCTGGCCTAGGTCCGATTGTATTGCAAGATTGCATGCCGCTTGCATTGGCCACATCGGCAACAGTCCCTCTCCAAGCGCCAGCATCAACAGCAGCAGTAACGATGTAATGCGCATTGTCATCTCAACATGGGGCGCTCTAAAAAGGGCCTCGCGTTGGAGGGTCGAAGGGGGCGACATCTATTCCTCGACGGAAGGCGGCGGACGTTCCAAAAGGCGTCCAAGAAAGGGCCTCGATCTCGGCGCGCACCCTCGCCCTCGGCGGACCCCCCTGTGGACGCGGCACGAGAGCGGGTCCACCGGCGGAAGTCTGGCGGCGGGCGGCGGGGGTAGAGGCGAGGGATGCAGGTCTTCCGGAGTCGAGCGCCTACTCTCGGTCTCGAAAACCTCACGGCCGGTGCCGCCGACCCTGTTCGCTGGGACGAAGGGGAAGAGTAGGAGGACGAGGAGGAGGAGGAAGAAGAGAGGGAGAAGGAGGAGGAGGAGGAGCAGGAGGAGGAGGAGGAGGAGCAGGAGAAGGAGGAGGAGTAGGAGCACGAAGAGGAGGAGCAGGAGGAGGAGCAGGAGGAGGAAGAGGAGGAGCATGCGGAGGAGCATGAGGAGGGGAGGCGGGGGGGGGAAGCGGGGAACGGAAGAAGGAGAGAGAGAGAGAGAGCAAGAGGGGGGTGAGGCAAGGAGGTGGGAAGGTTGTAGGCGAAGAGATGAGTTCCCTTGCTCTTCTCGCAGAACAGAAAACGGCATAAACATAAATGCTCAACGGTTCGTGCGGAATTCCTGGATTTGCTGTGGGTCCCCCTGGCAGCTCCTCTGGCGCCGCCCTTGGCGCGCTCTGAGCGCCAGTCAAGGTTCCCTGTATCGGATGTTCGTTCTATAGTCAAGGTTCCTTGTATCGGGCGTATGGTTCAAATTCTGTCAGTCGGGAGCCTCCGGGCGGCTCCGTGGACATCCGCAGCGACGTTTTGGAGATCTCGGCCGGGCAGCGGCGACCCGTGGTGGCAACGACGATCGACGACGGAAGTGACGGCAAGGTTGACGGGGACAGCGACGACTGGAACGGCGATCGACGATGGACGACGACGGCGAGGCTCAGTTGCTCTTGAAAATGCTGGGGGGCGTGGTTCCCCGTGTTCCACGTTTCGCTCTTGACCCGACCAGAACGTTTACAATGCTGTTTTTATGCATGTTCCGCGTGCGGATCATGTATTAAACATGCAGGGATTTAGTATTAAAAACAACGATGAGTTCATGCGTGAATTTACTCATGGATTAATCATGCGTTCAAGAGCATATATTTAAAAAGATCCGATGTATTAATACTTGCCCTGTGAAAAGCAATTGCAGCGCTGCAAAGGGGGCGCGTGGCATTCTTTGATCATCCTCCCTCCAGCAGGTGCCACGTTGCGCTCGGCGTCTGCGGCACCGCAGCGGCCCTGGCCACCGCCTCGGAGGGAGACCCGCCCCTTGGAGCCGCGGACCAGCCATGCCGACCCACGGCTCGGGGAACGGGCCCAGAGATGCAGAGTTGGCAGGAGGGGTATCGGGCGGCGCGCCGAGGGGGGGGGAACGAGCGGGGCCGGGCCTGCTCAGAAGGCGGCGGGTCTTTCCAGAAGCGGGGGCAGGGGAGGAGAGGGGAGAGGGGTCGGTGAGAGGAGGGGGCGATGGGAGGCGGCGAGGAGCCCCCAAAGGTGTGGGCTGGAGGGTTTGAAGGAGAGCGGAGGAGGGTTGTCCACGGGATGGCGAGACCCCCGTCCGCAATGCCCAGCGGGGGGGGGGGCGTGCGGCTTGCCGCGGCACGCGGCGTCCGAAGGGCGCGAAGGAAGGAAGGGAGAGGATGGGCAGGGCAGGCGGGGTCGGAAAAGAAGTGATGGGAGTGGGATCGGGAAGGGCAGCTGGCAGGGGTAGAAGGGATGGTCGGTGAAGGGAGGAGGGGAAGGCAGGGGAGGGGAGGGGATGATTTGGCAGGGCAGGGTGGTGTCTCAGAAGCCAGGGGAAGGCTGGCGAACCCGTGGCTGCCAAAACGGAACCCCGGGAAATTGTTCTTCTTCTGGGAAACAGCCCGTTTACGACTTAGCGCGTTGGGTTTTCTTCCAGGATTTCTTCCATCAGGGAAAACCGTTTTAGCAGCCACGGATTTGCCAGCCCTCGCCCAGCTTCCGAGTGTCGGAGGGGAGGAGCAGGAGGAGGAGGAGCAGGAGAAGGAGGAGAAGTAGGAGCACGAAGAGGAGGAGGAGGAGGAGGAGGAGGACGATGAGGAGGAGGAGGAGGAGGAGGAGGACGAGGAAGAGGATGAGGATGGTGCGGGAGAGGAGAGTAGGATTGTGGATTGTGGATTCCGTCGCCATTTTAGCTCAAGTCCGGAGGCGTTGCTCAAGGACGGCGGTCCTTTCGGCAATGGGGCGTCGCGGCTCCAATTGTTTCCTGTCTGTGCATTGATGTGAGGTTCCCTCGCTGTTTCACTGACTACAACGGTCTCGTCCCACAGTTTACACTTCGCTTGCCAATGTCGGGCAAGGATGGTATTTTTTCTCGCGGCGGTATTGTATGTAGTGTTTGCGGCCCTCGTCGGAGTCCTACCCACTACTAATGGTGCTATGCCTGTGGTGCCGATCTACGCCACGTCCCCAGCCAACCCGTGCCTAAGGCGCCAGGTGTGTGGGCCTACTGAGACCATGCTGACAAAGGCAGGGGGGCAAGTCCTGAGGCGCGTGGACATGGAGTTCCAAGGGCCAAGGCAAAGGTTGAGCGGGCAAAGCAGAGCGAGGGCGATCGCAGCCGCATCAGCATCAGCCCCGACAGCTTGGCTCGGCCGACTGTCCCCATCAGCTCATCGAGGGTGCAGGTTCAAAGTTCGAGCAGCTCGGAGAGGCAGACGTGGTTTTGTTGCAAAAGGTCCTCTCAAACGTTCGGCGGGATCGAGACGAATAGCTCCCAGTCGGTGCGTTGGTCCGCCGTGCCGAGTCGTTCGTTCAGAAAACGAGAAGCAACTCCAGAGTTGCAACGACCGTACCGTGCAGTTGGGTGAACAGACCGAGACTATCCAAGAAGAGTTGGAGGAAGAGAAGCAATGGAACATCTATATTGAGAAGGAGCTTCCAACCGCCAGGGCAACGACCGTTGCACCTTCGAGGGTCCCTTCTACATATGAGTTCGGTCAACAGGTTGCAGACTGGAGTTCGAAGCTCTGTGCTCTTGCGTCTGCTGGCCGTCTGGACCAAGAGGGTCAGCAGCTTTGGTTGGCTTTCCAGGCTAGGCTCGCAGCAACACCAGCTCGGGCCCCTGCACTAGAGCCTTCGTCGGAGGCTCAGGCACCAGCGGGGCCAAATGACGACAGAGCCATGGAGGTTGGCAGCATGACATCCGCAATGGCGACGAGGGGACCAAGGCGGTGGATCAGGGCCGGAAGAGAGCGCTGGCGGCGAAGCTCGCGGCAGCCGTCAAGCGGGCCCGACAGGGCGCCCCTCCCACCCGCGGTGGTCGAGCGGGCGGCCCACGCGGGCCCGCAGGGACGGCAGCCGCGGGCGCCCCCAGCGGTGCACCAGGGCTAGCGCCCGCTTCCCCAGCGTTGTCACAGGCAAACACGGAGACGGGATGGCAGCGCTTTTCTTCGTAGCTCGTTCGGCTTCCTGACGTTCAAGTGTGGCTCATGGGGCACGTGTTTGGATGTCAGTCGCAAGTGGGTTTCGGATGTACTTGTGTTGCGAGAAACGGAGCTTCGCGGCGAACGGCATCAGCAGGCGATGGAAGTTATCCTAGCTGCGGGGTGGCGCCCACATTCCTCCCAGGCTACGCTTGGGGAGCGTGGTTGGCCCAGTGGAAGAGTGGCCTTACTCATCAGAGGGCACGTCCCTCCATAGGCAATGGGCAACGCTGTACTGGTTCCTGGCCGGCTGGTGCGAGGCCTTGTCCAAGTACGAGGGCAAGGCACTGTGGCGGCGCATGATGCATACCTCCACGGCGGGGAAGGTTTCTCGGCGAGGAACCTTGAGACATGGAAGGCGTCTGGCTGCGATTGGGCACATCACTCTTGCCCTGTCGCGCTAGGAGCAGATCTCAACATTCACCCCGACGGCGTGCTGACTCAGGCACCGTGGGGGGCGACGCAGGGCGCGGCGAGGTCGAGCGACGCGCGCGCGTTCAGCAGCGGTGGCAACCAGAGCACGGCTGCTTCTGCATGGGCCTTACCTTGAAATCGTTGCGTTCTTCTGTCGCTGCCCAGCATGACGCTCCCAGCGGCGTGCATTTCCCAGTCAAGCTGCGCATCTCCTTGGCCGCGCATGAGGTTCGCGTGAAGGTGGCAGACAGGTTCCAGAGGCTGCCTATTGTTCCTATGCCGGGTCCGCCTGTTGCCCCACTGCGCTGCAACGCTGCCACCAGTATATTAAAGAAATTATTCCATGGCCCGGGTGTTTTGCATTCTGACCACTACCAGGTCAGAGGGGAGCAGCGGCTGCAGGCTCAGGGTATCCTTGACGAGTGCTATGAGAAGTTTGTTGACTTGTCTTGGACTGAGCTGGAACAGATCACTAGCAAGACGTCGAGTGGACTGCGAGGCGGTGCTCGCATTCATGTGTGAAGTGGGGTGCAACTGGAAACTGGAACGTAGGATGGCGGAGGAAACTATGGCCTTGGAAGGGAGGGGGGGAGGGAGAGATGAGGTAGGAAAGCTGGGGCGCAGAGCGAGGGCCTCGGACTTGAGGAGGGAAGGGTAAAGAGAGATGAGGGGAAGAGGGCACGGGGGGCGAAAAGGATTCCGGATGGGAGGGGAAGAGGGGGGAGGGGAGCGGGGCCAGGGAGTTCTCATGGAAGGCTTTGGAGGCTCGAGGGGCCAGGGGGGGCCTGGGAGCCGCGGGGGAGACCGTTGGGTGCGCCGCAGGCGTGGAGAGGGAGGAGGAGGAGGAGGAGGAGGAGGAGGAGGAGGAGGAGGAGGAGGAGGAGGCGGAGGAGGAGAGGAGGAGGAGGAGGAGGAGGAGGAGGAGGAGAGAGGGGAGGGGGAGGGGGAGGGGGAGGGGGAGGGGGAGGGGTGAGGGGGAGGGGAGGGGAGGGGGAGGGGGAGGGGGAGGGGGAGGGGAGGGGGAGGGGGGGGGAGGGGAGGGGGAGGGGGAGGGGGGGGGAGGGGGAGGAGGAGGAGGAGGAGGAGGGGGAGGAGGAGGAGGAGGAGGAGAATATGGGGGACGGGGAGGACACGGACGAGGACGCCGCCCCTCAGAAGCAGTCTCAGGTTTCCTGCCTGCCAGCACATCTTTGTTGCTCGGGCCCTCGGGCGGGCCCTCGGCGGCGGCGGCGGCCACGGGCGGCCGCGCTCCGCCCCGAGGCCGCCGTGCTGCACGCCGGCGGCGCCGGCCCGCGCGGCGTGCACTCGATCGGCGAGGCGGCGCCGCGCGCGCGGGGGGGCTCTTCGGGGGGGCGGGTCGGGGGCGACGTGAGGGGTCAGCGAGCGAAGAACGGTATAAATAACTTTTTCGCCGTCGGGGAACCTGCCCCTGGGCGGCTGGAAAGTTTATACCCCTACGGTGCCACCGTAAGGGTATAAACTTTCCAGCCGCCCAGGGACAGGAGCCCCCGACGGCGAAAAAGTTTATTTTATACCGTTCTTCGCTCGCTGAGGGAGGGCGGGTCGGGGGCGACGGCAGGGGTGATGGGCAGCGTTGCCCGGATCACCGCGGGGTGGGGCTCACAGTGAGCGGCTTGAACAAGGAACGCTTACTTTTCAAAAGGGGCTCGGTCGTTCCATTTATCGTTCCTGGTGCGTTATGTATTATTGATCGTTCCTTATGCGTTATTCCCTGGAGAAAAGGGGCTTCGTTCCTGATTTATCCTTCCTTAGGTCAGGCCGATGACTGTACGGTCCCAGAGATCCGACGCTCCAACACACAAACATTGGAGAGCGGGCGGTTTGGGGCCGTCTTCGCCCTCCGTGGGCCCTCGCTGGGCTTCGGGAGCACCAAAGAACAAATCAACTGGCCCGGGGGAAGTGGTCCAGACCTCCGGGTCCCACGCGCCGAAAAAATTGAGACAGCCGGATGTCTGGGACGTTGCTTGGATGGCCTCGGTGGGCGCTACGGTCAGGAACTTATGCTTAGCGTGTCGCACCGCCGGTTCTGGCCCACCACGCTTCGGCGGGGCACGCTATCAATCTCCCCATCTCCAAGGCTCAAAGTCCCGATCTTCGCACAGCATCTCATCCCGCGGAGCGATGCGACACGCTTTCCGCATGGAAGGCATAGCGTGCCGCCGGTGTCGCCGCCGCGACATGCCATGCAAACGTTCCCAGCCATAAGAAGAGGGGGAGTTTTAGACGGGGATGCTAAGATGGGATGCGCCTGGCCTAACCTAGCTTACAAGTGGGTTACACATGCCGCCTTAGGTGCCCAAGGGCGTACAGGTCCAGGCGCAGTGGGCGGAGCCCACGAAGCAGAGTTATAGAATCACCCCAGGCCTTTTACAACGTGCGTAACTAGGTTAGGCCAGATAAGGTTCGACTTCAAATCGCCCTATCCACGTAGCAACCCCCGCGGCAATTCAAGTCGGGGGGAAGTTTCGCATATGATGTGTTTGAGGTTTTCAGACGTTTCTCTGGTTCTCGGCGGTGTTCTGGCCTCGGTTTTTTTTTTCCAGCAGCTGCGGCTCGTCGAGAGCGTTCTGGGGGTGCTCAGATCGTCCCGAACGGCCGCCAGGGAGCGGACTTAGCCCCTGAAAGGGATGCATCGACCACCAATTGCCCATTCATCGTCGATAGGGGCCAGATAGCCCACCCCGCCCAGGAGCGTGTGGACTCGCTATCAGGAGCCTATAGCCGAGGTATATCGGCGATGCATCGCCGAGTCAAGGTGGATGATTCCCTCCGTGAGCCAGTTCCCCCCCGAACCTTCCCCCCAAAGGAAGAGGGAGGAGGAGGAGGAGGAGGAGGAGGAGGAGGAGGAGGAAGAGGAGGAGGAGGAGGAAAGAGGAAGGAAGGAGGAGGAGGAGGAAGGAGGAGGAGGAGGAGGAGGGAGGGAGGAGGAGGAGGAGGAAGGAGGAGGGGAGGAGGAAGGAGGAGGAGGAGGAGGAAGGACGAGGAGAAGGAGGACGAGGAGGGAGGAGGAGGAGAAGGAGGAGGAGGAGGAAAAGTAGGTTGATGATTCTGAAGATAATGAGGATGAGGAGGCCATCACTGATGGATACGGTCCGCATCCTCGAGCTTTGAGGAGGAGGAGGAGGAGGAGAAGGAGAAGGATGAGGAGGGAGGAGGGAGGAGGGAGGGAGGAGGGCGAGAGGAAGGAGGGAGGAGGGAGGAGGAGGGAGGAGGAGGGAAGAGGAGTTGTTCAACATCGACCACAGAAGCCACGCTGCACACACCCCTTCCCACAGCTAGCAGCCTGAGCTCCCGACGTCGAGGATGCCGAAAGGCGAAAGAGCAGTCCACCACCAGGAGCCGCCTCCCGGCGGCTCGAAGCCCAGCGGCACACCACTTTGGGGACGTTTTTGCTTGAAAACGCACGCTGTGATGCAGGACCAGCGCGCGGAGAAGGACAGGACAGGGGCTGCACGCCCGAGCGCGCGAGGCTCTCGGGCCTTGGAGGCGTCGTCTCTGGTCCGAGGCTCGCGGCTTGCGGGCACTGTCGTCGGCGCTCGGCGGCGTTCCAGCCTATTCCAGAGGAGCGGAACTCCACAGCCGGGAACGTTTGCCCAGCGCGGTTTTGGCCCACCGCGCTCCGGAGGGACACGCCACGTTGCGGGCTCCCAGCGTCGACACGCTATCCGATTGCAGGGCATAGCATGACGCCGGTGCCGCCGCCGCGACACGCCAAGCAAAAGTTCCCGACCGCAATGCAGCCACCATAGGTTCTAACGTTGTCCTAGGGCCTCGGCGGCTTCTCTCGAGGCATCCATCGTCTTTGTTTTGAGGCTCGGGTGTTTTTGGCGGTTTCGTCGGCTCTCGTCGGATTTCCAGCCTCGATATGTTTTCTGGCATCGCCTCGCCGAGGGCGTTCTGTGGGTGCCCGGGGCGTCCTGAACGGCCACCAGGGGACCAAGTTATGATGACAGTCGATCCGGGCCGTACGCGATGCCGTCGCCACGCATGCCGAAGGAGTGGGCCCAGCCAGCAGTTGGGCTGAATCGGGCGGAATGGGAGGAAGATTACGAGTCGAGGTTTCAAGTTTTAGATGCGTCTTTGTTGCCTTTTTGACCTTCCGCGTGGATTCCTCGTCGCCACGGCTGGATACGTGCTGGTCATGATTGTAGGTTCCGGGCGCGGTTTTAGACACTTGAGTCCCTCCGCGCAGGTTCCTTGTCGCCACGGCTAGGTTACCCTTCGACGTTCTGGTCAAAGCGCACCGCAGGAGAGGTCGGGTGTTGGTTTCGATCAGGGAGGACCAAGGCCGAGCAAATTCGCGCCGGAGACGTTAGGGAGCGACGGGCTCAGGGTGGGGGGCGCATCGGCCCCCATGCGCCCAAGCATGTTCGATGGGGGCTCGATGGCCGATCGCCCAGGAGCGTGCGGATTCGCTATCGGGGGACGATCGCCGATCTATCAGCGAGGTACGGCCGATCCCAGCTCGATGTTTGCCCCCCCGAGCTGGTCCCCACTAACGCCTCCCCTCGAAAACAATTGAGGGTGAAGAGCCAGCCCAGGGCCCAGGAGAAAGAGTCAAGAGCTCTGGGAGCTGGCGACTTTCGGCTGGGGTCAAGAGTGATCTTTTGCTGGAGTGACCTTTTGTTGTGCGGCTTTCGGGGGGTACGGGGGGTGAAAACCAAGGACGTCGCACAGCACGTCACTATCGGCAAGTCGCGCACCAAAGGTCACTGTTGTGTAGGGTCACTCTTGCGTGCAGCCGAGAGTCGAGATTACCCAGGCACGCAGCGAACCCATCTGCATCACAGCTCGAGATCAACGGGCCAATCCTAAACGGATGATGATACACAAGGGCACGCGATCCCTTGTGGAAGCAACGTAGGGGCCCAACGGGACCAGGAAACGGTGGGGAGAACGAGTGAAGGGCGGCGACGACGTCGACCAAGAGAAGGGAGGGCGAGCAGTTGCGCGGGGACGGTCGAGGGGGGATGCAGGCCTGCAGAGAGGGCGAGCAGGGAGAGGATACGATGCCAGCGAAGAGGAGCTCCTGGTACCTCGACGCTGCAGGGTGGCTCCCGGGAGGAGGCCAGTGGCCAGCTCCTTGGCCCCTTCCCTGCGCTGCTCCGCACGGGCACACCGGGCTCCAGTACAGTCGGGGCCCTGAAGAAGGAACCCTTTTCGTTGGGGAGGGGCTCCGTGTTCCTTGATTGCTTCGCAGCTTGCCTCAGGTTTTCCTTTGGTTTTCGATCTGAAATCGAAGTTTAACTTATGGAAAATAGGGGCCTCGTTCCTTATTTAGGGTTCCGTAGGTCAAAGTCCCGACTGTCACGCACCAGGTCCGCCTGCGGCCTCCCGGCGAGAACCTCCAAGCCCAGGTGTCGCCGGCCGTGGCCCTGGACCTTGGCATCTCTCGGACGTGTGCATTTTTCTTTCGGCGAGGACCATCGAGGAGCGTCCTTGATCCTTTGGCGAAAAGACCACGCACGAAACCCCAAAAAACACAGGGAATGGACGTCCGAGCGATGGCCAGTGGGCGATCTGACGTGCAGGTTCAGCCAAGGGCACTCCATGCCGCCAGCGTCACTGTAGCCCGCGTCGACGATGCTCCTCGTGCACGGTCTGGCCCGGGCCGCCACCAGCCCTCCCGGCAGCACCCGCGGCAGGCAAGGCCTCGTGTGATTTCGCGCACGACGCCACTCCGATGGACTTCCCGGGAGTGCACGGTAGTGGCTACGGCGACGGCAATACGCAGTGTGTTGCACCAGGGGAGGTTGAGGTCACCCTTGGGTTTGCGTAAAACGTCATTGCAAATGGACCTCCCCAGGGCTGGCGAAAGAGGCATCAGCTGCGCAACTGGCAGCGTCCCGTTTTGGTTCCCATGGCGGCATTCCGTTGGACCCCCCAAGAGCCCACGAAGGCAGGGATGGCTTCGCAATGGGATCCGCTCTCCACTTGACCTCCCCAGCGCTCATCAAAGTGGCGACAGTTGCGCAGGAGGCGGCACCCAAAGAGGGCGAGGTTCTCGAGTGCGTTCGCATAGGACGTCACTCCGCTGGACCTCCTGGAGCTTACGGAACGGCAATCGTGGCGCAAGTGGCAACTCTTGGGGAGGGCGAGGTTTCGCCTCGGTACGCGCAAGAGATCAACCCGATGGGTTTCTCAGGAGAACGCGAAACAGGCGGCAGCTGTGCGACTTGCAAAAGACAGGGAAGGCGAGCTCTGCGTAGAAAGTCGGCCCGCCATACTTTTCAGGAGCTCACGACAGTGGCGACAGATGCGCATTTGGCAGCACCAGCGGAGGGCGAGGCCTCGTCTGGGTTTGCCCAGGACGTCACTCCCCTGGATTTTCACTCGGCAGCTACCGTCGTGGGCGAGGCACCGCTTGGATGCGCAAATGGCGCCATCCCGCTGCGCACACCGGAGTTCACGCCAGCGGCGGCAGGCACACGATTGGCAACACCCAGGCGGAGAGGTCCCCAATGGGCCTGCGTATAACGTCACTGCGTTGAGCGTCCCAAGAATTCAAGCAAAGTGCGAGTGCTGCTCACATTGAGCAGCTGGCATCACCAGTAGGCGGTGTGAAGAGCTTCGCAAGATGAGCCGCAGTCCATTGGACTTGACCGGATATTGTCAACGTGACGGCACTTGCGCGTCTGGAAGCACACAGGGAGGGCGAAGTTGAGTGAGAGTGTGCGTTGCAGCTTCGAGAATACCGATAAGTTCACAACAGTGGCGACAAGCTCAAGGCTGGCAGCACCACGGGAGGGCGAGGTCTCGTCTTGGATTGCGTGATGCGTCGCTCTGTTGAACCTCTTACCCGCGTGGCGGCACATGCGTTCCCGCCTTCATCCTTGGCGCCGGTTGCTGTTCATCTTACTTGCGTTCCTGCTGTTGATCCTCCTCGCCGTCGCTCCCACTCGACCCTGGAGTTCAAGAGAATGAGGATGGGATGACGATGAGGAGGAGAAGGTGGGTGGGGAGGTGGAGGAGGAGGAAGAGGGAGGAGAGAAGGAGGGGGGGGGAGATGGTGGAGGCAGAAAGGCGGACGAGGTGAAGATAGGGGAGGGGAGGGCCTCCCCATCGAACCCGTCCGCCTCATCCATCCGCCTGCTCCCCTTCGTTTGCAATATTTTGCAATCTTTTTGCAATCCTTCTTTTTGCAATCCTTCGTTTTTTTGCAATATTTTGCAATCCTTCGTTTTTTTGCAATCCTTCGTTTTTTTGCAATCCTCCTTCCTTCCCCCCCCCTTCGCGCCCCCGCCCCGAGGAGAAGGGCGTCACCGCGCTGGCTGCGGTGCCGTCCGCGGAGGAGGAGCCTTCGCTCCTCCTCGCTACTCCTCGCTTCTCGCTCCTCCTTATCCTCCTCCTCCTCCTCCTCCTCCTCCTCCTCCTTCTCCTCCTCTTCTTCCTACTCCTCCTCCTCCCACTCCTCCTCCTCCTTCTCCTCCTCTTCCTCCTCCTCCTCCGCCTCCTCCGCCTCCCCCTCCTCCTTCTCCTCCTCTTCCTCCTCCTCCTCCGCCTCCTCCGCCTCCTCCGCCTCCTCCTCTTTCTCCTCCTCCTCCCTGCCCCTCTTGTCCCCCTCCTTCCACCTCCTGCTCCTCCTCACTCTTACTCCTCCTCGTCCCTAGCTCCTCGGTTCCTACCCCTCCTTCCCCTCCTCCGTCCACCTCCTTTTTCTCCTCCTCCTCCCCGTCCACCCCCTCTACCTTCTGCACAGCTTCCTCCGTCATTTTGGCTCAAGCCATTTTGGCTCAAGCTGGCTCTGCGCATTCTGCCCGGTATCGTATCCTCCTCCACAAAGTGCAGACGCATGTGGGCATGACGACGGCCGGTCCTTGCCATTCCGTGGCAAGTTTGGTGTGCGCCCACCCGAGTGCAGCACACGTCTTGGCGGCGGCGCTTGGCGCGGCCGTGGGCGGCGCCCCCCGCCGGGTCGCTGCGGCGATGGTGGCGGCCGCAGCTCGTACCTCCTTCGGTGGCTCTCCCGATGCCGTCCACGAGGAGGTCAAGGCCAGGCTGGCCATTCGGGTCGGGCGAAAGGGGGGGATTGGGAAAGGGGGGGTTACGAAATTTGCTGCATGCAGCTGGTTTCGGCCTCACCGAGGGGCCCATTCCTCGATACATGGCCGCTCCCGGCGCCGGGAGGCGCCGGGAAAATCAGCTACGTGAGCTGATTCTCAAACCCCCCCTTTGCTATCCCCCCCTTTCGCCCGACCCGAGCCATGGCGGAGCCAGCCCTCACTGAGCTGGTCAAGGCAGGCCCTTCCGGAGACCCAGCCCCTCCATTGTGACGTGAAGGCCACGCGCACTACGGGCCTGCACGTGGCCCCATGGGCTGTGGCGCGGAGGGCCTCCCGTAGAATGGCAAGGAGGCCAAGCGGAGGCAACGCAGCGGCGCAAGTCAAAGGGGAAGGCCGCCCTGAGGCTGATGGAGGAGAACTGCGAGTGCGAGGAGGCGCACTCTAGCGAGTCGTGGAATACCTCCGTGGCCAACGTTCAACCCACAGGGAATCTTGCAGCTGGGCGCCGTGGGCGCAGAGCAGAAGCAGGTCGGGGGCAAGGCAGTCGAGGATGCCTGCCTGGAGCTCAAGATCATCGGCGTCTCCGCGGAGGCATTGGTGCAGGAGGTGCCCGAGGAGGCCGACGCGCAGGCCCAGCATGGCAAGACCACGCAAGGGAACAAGGACATGGCCGAGGAGATCGCCTCGCTGCAGCTGGCGGTGGTTCCCGACTACATGGTCGACGACAGGGCCGAGGAGATTGCTTCGGTATCGCAGCAGTTGACGGCGGTCCGCGGCCAGCTCAACGAGTTGGTGTTCCAGGGCGCTCGGCGGCCCAGGCACGTGCTCGTCGAGGCTGTCAGGAAGGAATGCTACCTCAGGAGCCTCCTGGGGCGGCTGCAGAAGTAGTCTGCGGTTCAGTTCTCAGCTGGACCAGGCGGTGGGGACCCGCTATTCCCCTAGCATCGTCGGCTTCGGCATCTCGTCGGTGCGCGAGTTCGTGTAGCTAGCGCGAGGCGTGCTGAGGCTGCGTGGATTCGAGCTCGGGGTGCGGAGGCTCGTGCTCCTCCTGCACCCAGTCTGCTTGCTGCTCGGCGTCGCGAAGGCTCGCGTTCCTCCTGCGGCCGTGGCACCAGGCGAATTCGCTCGGGATGCGGAGGCTCGTGTTTCTCCTGCGACTCGAGCAGCGCTGCCCCGGTGGTTCGGAGGCTCGCGCTCCTCCGGCACCGCCAGGGGCTCGCGTGGACGGGACAGGGTCCTGATTGGTCATTCCTGATCATTCCTGCACAGCTTCCACCTGTTCCACCGACCAAGGCAACTTCGACAAGCGCCTGAGCAGATCCAAGCTGGCCTCGAGAGCTACAGAATTGCAGTCCCCAGCCAGACCCTGAGCGTAGGCACCAACCAGCACAACGGGTTCTGGTTTGTCTCGATACAGGGGGTGACGATCATGGTGGGTTTCGTCGCATCGTCAGGGATCGCCGCGGGCTGCGGGCTGGCCACTTTCCTGGTCCAGGTGTACGCCGTGTCTCCGCTGCTCACATTCCAGCCCAAGTGCCCAAGCGTGCATTTCAATATGTTTACCGACGACGTGTGTCTTCTCAATGTATCTGGCAACGACGAGACTGGCGCGAGGGAACTCACCAAGGCCGGGGAGACGATGGTACATCGATCTCACAGAGGAGGAGTTGGAATGTAGCATAGCATCACACAAGGCCACAATGTTTGCCAGCAGACCCGCTACCCTTAAGTTGGCGGCCGAAAAGTTTGAGGGTGTGGGTGGATCGGCGTGCACAGCGGCTGCGAACCCAGGAGTAGTTTTCTGAGCTCGCAAGGCCCGGGGGGCAAGACCCGGCCCACGCTGCAAGCCATACCCAATAGATTCGAGAAGCCGCGTCGTAGGATAGGCAGCTTGCGCCTAGCTGGCGCCGAGCTTTTGGAGCGGAAGTCACGGGAGGTGACAATCTCGAATTGAACAGGCTGCACGGTGAGTTTGTAAGAGTAGCAAGGCCTAGAGCTCGGACTCGGTCACGCACCCTTGTCCCCGTCCTCCTCCAAGACCCGCTCTAGAGGGCCGCGCTGGCCCCGGCCCCCACGTGGCCCACAATTGTCTGGAAGGCAGCGCGTGCGCCCACCAGCCCGCACTTCTCGGGAGGTCTTCCAAGGCTTTGTAGTTTGGCGCCTGTGGCGTTGAGGAACCTTCCCCAGAAGTGGTGTTCAGTGCTCGGCCCTTTTGGAGCTGCGATGCTGTCTATCATTAGCTAAGATCGGTTGGATATTGGAACCCCCCTTTGTCGTCAGGGACCCGATGGGGCGACACACGTTGACTTACCTCCACCTACCCTTTTTTGCTCTCCTCACTGTTGCAGCGGTCGTGGAGGGCAAGAGTGCAGCGAGAAGCGGCTAGAAAACGAGGCTTCAATGAAGACGTGCTTGACGTAGGCGTGGCTCTGCAGTGACGACGCAGGCCCTCCGAGGCCGACTGTTTCATCATGCTGGACGGGTGGTTGTTCACCTTCAAGATAAAGGAAGCCCTACGCGGCTCTCTGTGGACCAGTTGGGGCCGCCTTCCCGCAGACATCCCCAGCAGCTGAATGGATCGCCTTGTGCGCTGCTGTTTTGAAGGGATCCGGCGACCGCGAGCCCGTCACTGATTTCACGGGGGCCTTAGTCTCATTGGCCCTGCGTGCGTCGTGCTGCGAAGGAAATCGCGCTACGCAGGCCTCAGCAAGCTGATTCTTGGAGGTCCAACGTGGGCTTCGACTTGCCACGTCAGCAAAGTGAAAGGCCACCACGATGTAGACTCGTTGTGTGCAGGCACAGACGAGCACTTTAGAGCCCTCGGGAATTCCCATGCCGACAGATGGGCCACACAGGGGGCCCGCATGCACTGCCGCCCCGCTAGAGCAGAAGTGGACGCTTTTGAGTGTGAAGCCTGATTGCTAGCTGTTTTTCCTTATGTATGTAGGTAAAGCTCTCACCTTGGGGCCCCAGCTGGCAACCGCACGCACCAGCAAGTACAAGTTTAAGAGGGGTCCGAGGCCCAAGGCTAAGAGCCAGAGAGATGTGCAGGCCGCTCGAGAAGTAGTGGCGCAGCCTGTCGAGGGGGAGGCCGCCATTCTCTCGGCAGGCGCCCCATCTCCACAACCTCCCCCTCCTCCTCCTGATCCTCCGTCGGAGCCTCGTGGTCGTCGTCTTTCTCCCCCCTGGGGAGGGAGAGGGACAGCAGTTTCTAGCCCACGCCTGGTCTTGGAGGCAGACTAAGTGGGTGTGTGTGTGTGCCCGTTGCCTGGCGTGGGCGCGCAAGGACAGCGCCAAAGCTCGCAAGAGCAGGCTCGCTTGCCCGGCCCACAAGACTCCACCGCCATGTTTAGCTCAAGAGCCAAGAGGGGCACAGGCTCTGAACGCTCCCTTTTCTTAGCTGATGAGGAGACGTTGTACCTCGGATGTGCGAGGTGCGCGGCCCAGCCTCCGAGAGATTTACGTTGCCAGGCTAGGAGCTGCCATGTAGGAGTTGCCATCGAGGTTTCCGGTCGGATGCCCAGCAGCACCGTTGGACGTGGATGTTGAAGGGGCAGCATCCACAGACTGAGAAAGGGAAAAGCATTGTTTGGGGCCCCCCTGAGTCCATAGAGTGGCACCAGAGGGCAGCCCGCCAGCAGCGCAGCGCAATGGAAGGCAGCAGTAGCGGGAGCAGGGGGGGTAGAGGCGGGGCCTCCCTCGTGCGAATCCGCGGCCGCCTGCCATCGTTCTCTGATGGGTAGGGGGAGGCAGAGCCAGATTCTTCTTATTGATCGTCAACCCACTTCCACCTCCTCCACCACCTCCACGTCCTCCTCTTCCGCCTCCTCCTCCCCCTTCTCCTTCTCCTCCTCCTCCTCCTCCTCCTCCTCCTCCTCCTCCTCCTCCTCCCCGTCCTCAACTTACTCCTCCTCCTCTTGCCGGCCCCTCGTCCCCCCTCCACCCACCTCCTCCGCCTCCTCCTCCTTCACCTCCTCCATCTCCTTCCCATGCCTACTCCTCCTCCCTGGGTCTTCGGTCCCTTCCCCTTCTTCCCCTCCTCCGTCCACCTCCTCCTTCTTCTCCTTGTCCTCCCCTTCCTCCTCTTCTACCCCCTCCTCCACCTCCTGCACCGCTTCCTCCTGTTCCACATCCTCTACCATCTCCACGTCCTCCTCTTCCGCCTCCTTCTCCTCCTGCTCCTTATCCTCCTAATCCTCCTCTTCCTCCTCCTCCTCCTCCTCCTTCTCCTCCCCCTCCTTTTCCTCCTCCTCCTCTTCGTCCGTCCTCCTCCTTCTCCTTTCTCCTCTTCCTCGTCCTCCTCCTCATCATCCTCCTGCTTTTCCTCCTCCTCATACTCCTCCTCCTCTCCCCTTTTCTCCCTCCTTATCCCTTGCCCCCCCTCTCTTTGCCCCCCCTGTCCCCCCTTTCAGGAAAGCGATTCGTCGCCATCCCTCAGTCTTGCGAACTATAGAATGCACTCGCCGGAAGGCACGCTTTTCTGGAACTGCCCCTGTGCGTGTTGTTCTTCGTTATCGACTTGCGTCTCCAGCCAGCGGCACTCTTTCAGCCGATGTGTCGTGCAGACACGGCGTCATTGATTCATTGATCTTCCTCATCGTCGCTCCTCGCGCCAGCGAGCCTTCGAGGGTCGACACCCCAAGGGGGGGCAGAGGTCCCCGAATAAGAAAAACAGCATAAGCATGAACGTTCGAAGGTCCGCGCGGATGTCTTGGATCGGCGCTGGGCGCGCCAGGGTGGGGGGTCCAGCGCCGATCCAACAAACCCAAGCGGAGCTCCGAGAGGTCATCTTTTTGCTATTTGTTTTTCTTCGAGGCCTTCATCTCGAGAGCCCCCCCACTGCCCAGGCCGCAAGAGAGAGAGGGAGAGAGACAGCGTGGTCCTCTGCACAGCGCGTCGACCCCCAGGGATCTCGAGGCATCTCGTTCGAAACTTGCGCTGTGTTTGCCCCCGCTCCCTCTCTCGCTCTCGTTCCCTCGGTCGCTTCCTCCTTCGCCTCATCCCCACGCCCTCCCCAACGCTGGCTCCCGCGCTCGCTGTGGGAGGACGCGAGAGGAGGAGCAGGGGCAGGGGTGAGAAGGGGCAGGCAAGGAGGAGAAGGAGGAGGACGTCGAAGAGGAGGCGGGAAGGACGACACGGGAAGCAGACGGGAGTCTCTGTGGAGCAGCAGCAAGACGGATTCTGAGGATGTGGCTGAGGAGGAGGACGAGAATGTGGGCGGGTTCTTTCCCATCCTCTTCTTCCCGCTGCTCTTCCATATCACCATCTCCTTATCACCATCTTCATCATCATCGTCATTGACTTCATCATCATCGCCATCATCATCATCAGCAGCATCATCATCATCATCATTACCATCATTGGTGTTGAATTGGGAGTCCAGCCGCTATCGTCGTCCTCGTCTGCTTCCTCTCTCCTCCACCTTCTCTTCCCCCTCATCTGCGTCGTTTGGAGGGTGTTGCGATATCTTGCGCCGCCGTGCCGCTTTGAGCGGGCTGTCGAAGCGGCACCCGATCATGGTCGGCGACGGGAAGCTCCGCCGTCACGACGAGAGGCGATCCGAGACAGATCCTTGGGACAGCCCGTGGCTCACCGTGGCTCGTCGACACTCTTGGGCCGCAGCCTTTCCTGTCAACAGCTTCCCAACTGGGGCATTCGGCCTCTTGCAGCTCTGGCGTGAGAGCATTTCGTTCGCTTCCTCCTCCCTCGTTTTCTCCTTGCGTTGTGGTTCCCTCTTTCGCCATATGTGCTCCCTCCTCCATGGCTGGCGCATCGCATGGAGGAACACCCTCTCCCTCAATAGGAAAGCCTGCATTGTTGTATCTTGGGTCGTGGGGAAAATCATGATCAGCAAGAACATCATCATCTGCAGAATCAGCATCGCCAGCAGTAACATCATCATCAGCAGCAGCATCGTCATCATCATCATCATCATCATCATCAGCATCATCAGCATCATCATCATCTGCATCGACAACAACGTCATCATAATCATCATCAGCAACAGCATCATCATACGCATCGTCATCATCAGCATCATCGGAGACATCATCATCATAATCATAATCAGCATCATCATCAGCAGCAGCATCATCATCATCAGCATTATCATCATCAGCATCAGCATCAGCAGCAGCATCAGCATCAGCATCGCCGTCGTCATCACAATCTCCAGCACCATCATCATAATCATCAGCATCAGCATCATCATCAGCATCGTCGCCACCATTATTGCCATCCGCATCATCATCATTAGCAGCGGCAGCAGCAGCAGCACCCGCCCCCGCTCTCTTCTCATTCTTGATGCTCCCTCCTCGCCCCCCCCCTCCGCTCCTTGCCCCTGCTGCTCCTCGTTCTCGATGCTTGCTCCTCGCCCCCCCCCCCCCTCCGCTCCTTGCCCCTGCTGGGTCCCCGCTCCCTCCCGTGCCCACCGCGGCCTCCTGGCGGGCCCGACGGCCCTGCGGAGGGCACCCGCAGCAGGGCGAGTCGGGGCCCTCCGCTGCGACCCGGGCCAGCCTCCAGGGCCGTTTTTAACACATGATCCGCGTGCGGATCACGTATAAAAAATGCAGGGGTTTCGTATTCAAAACAACGATGCGTTCATGCATACATTTACTCATAACTTGATCGTGTATTAAAATATACATATAACGGCGCACCGGGTCCGGGGGCCCGGGGCCGGGACCCCGACCGCAAATGTGCACCCCGGGGGGCCCGGAGGCTCGTCGGGGCTTGCCGGAGGCCTCCCCAGTCAGACAAGACGGCCCAAGAAGCGCCCAAGACGGCCCAAGAAACTTCCAAGAGGCCTCCAAGAGGGCTCCGAGATGCTGAAGATGGCCTCCAGACGTCCAAGGACGCCCCCAAGAGGCCCCAAGAAGCCTCCAACATGCGTCCCAAGAGGGCCCCTAGACGCAAAATTGGCCCATTCCCTTCGTAAAACGTACATTTTCAACAAAGTTGTCTTTTGGGCTTTCCGACGTTGCAGGACGGCCCAAGAGGCGCCCAAGACCGCCCCAAGACGGCCCAAGAAGCTTCCCAGAGGGCCCCAGGACAGCCCAAGAGGGCCCCAAGACGGCCCAAGAGGCGCCCAAGATGGCCCAAGAGGGCCCCAAGACGGGCCCAAGAGGGGGCCCAGAGGGGGACCACGAACCGCAAGCTCGAGCCTTCCGCCCCAAGAGGCCGCCAGGAGGCCCCCAGGAGGCCCCTCAAGAGGCCCCGGGAGACCCCAGACGTCCAAGGACGCCCCCAAGAGGCTCCAAGAAGCCTCCAACATGTGTCCCAAGAGGGCCCCTAGACGCAAGAATTGGCCCATTCCCTTCGTAAAACGTACATTTTTAACAAAGTCGCCTTTTGGGCTTTCCGACGTTACAGGACGGCCCAAGAGGCGCCCAAGACCGCCCCAAGACGGCCCAAGAAGCTTCCAAGAGGGCCCCAGGACAGCCCAAGAGGGCCCCAAGACGGCCCAAGAGGCGCCCAAGATGGCCCAAGAGGGCCCCAAGACGGGCCCAAGAGGGGGCCCAGAGGGGGACCACGAACCGCAAGCTCGAGCCTTCCGCCCCAAGAGGCCGCCAGGAGGCCCCCAGGAGGCCCCTCAAGAGGCCCCAGGAGACCCCAGACGTCCAAGGACGCCCCCAAGAGGCCCCAAGAAGCCTCCAACATGCGTCCCAAGAGGGCCCCTAGACGCAAAAAATTGGCCCATTCCCTTCGTAAAACGTACATTTTCAACAAAGTTGTCTTTTGGGTTTTCCGACGTTACAGGACGGCCCAAGAGGCGCCCAAGACCGCCCCAAGACGGCCCAAGAAGCTTCCAAGAGGGCCCCAGGACAGCCCAAGAGGGCCCCAAGACGGCCCAAGAGGTGCCCAAGATGCCCCAAGAGGGCCCCGAGACGGGCCCAAGAGGCAGCCCAAGAGAGGCCCAAGAAGCACAAATCGTGCATTCCTATGGGAAATATATTTTTCGCATGTTCGCCTCTTGGGCTTTCACCGCGTCCAAGACGGCCCAAGAGGCGCCCAAGACCGCCCCAAGACGGCCCAAAAAGTTCCCAGAGGGCCCCAGGACAGCCCAAGAGGGCCCCAAGACGGCCCAAGAGGCGCCCAAGATGGCCCAAGAGGGCCCCAAGACGGGCCCAAGAGGGGGCCCAGAGGGGGACCACGAACCGCAAGCTCGAGCCTTCCGCCCCAAGAGGCCGCCAGGAGGCCCCAAGGAGGCCCCTCAAGAGGCCCCAGGAGACCCCCAAGAGGCCCGAAGGAGGCCCCGAGAAGACCCAAATCGGCCCCCAAAATGCTTCGAACCTGCTTCCAGGAGGCCCCCGACAGGTTCAGAGGCTCCCGAGAAGCTACGTCAAACTCCCAGCGAGCGGCCGGACGAGGCCCCCCACAAAATCACAAGAGGGTTCCAGTATTTGTATCCTTCAGCGCTCTCTGGCCTTCTTCCCCCTGCCCCCTTCCCTGCGACTTTCGTTGACTCAAGCTCGCCTCCTAGCTAGAACCTAAGCGCGCGCGAAGCGCGCGCGTGGTTCTAGTCCAATATGTTTAGAAATCCTATGTATTCAAAACTGCCCTGTCCTTTCGGAGAAGCGCGCCCAGGGGGAGGGCAGAAGGGGGCGGGGCGGGCCTCCCAGGGGACTCCGAAGGCCCATGGCCGTTTCGGGAGCTCCCGAGGCCTTCTCCGAGGCCACGGGGGGAAGGCCTCTCAGAAGGCCGGAGGGCTGCGAGGACGCGCCGCCGCCTTGCGAGGAGGCTCGGCCCCCTCTCTCACCTCCCCCCGGTCAGGCGCGCCGCCGATCCTCGGGAGGGGATCAACACACACAGGCACCAAGAGTCGCCGATTGCCACGACAGTATCGGGAAATGGGGGGAGCAGCGGGGACATTGGATCTATGCTCGGGAATCCTGGGATGTGTGCCTATCTATGTGTGTGTGTGCCTGGGCCCCTTGTGATCCATGCTCATCGCCGATCCTCGCCAATCCTTCGCTCCTCATCCGCGTTTTTCCTTGCTCTTCCTCTCTCCTCCGTGCCCCTTGCTCCCACTCCTCGCTGGTCCACATCCTAGCTCCCCCCTCATCATCTTGCCTCCCCCACCTCCTTTCTCCCTCTGTGTTCCTCCTCCTCCTCCTCCTCCTCCTCCTCCTCCTCCTCCTCCTCCTCCTCCTCCCCCCCTCCTCCTCCTGCTTCTCCACATCCTTGTCTTTGCTCATCTTTGCTCCTCACGCTTCCCTCCTACCCCCCCACCCCTCGACGAGCGCGTGGTCGAGGAGCCCTGCCTCTGCGCCTTCGACATCGACCGCACGCTGACCTGCAAGCAGGGCTGGGCCGACCAGTGCGAGGGCACCGTGGAGCAGTCCAGCGCTCGGGGTCAGCCAGCGCGGTCGCACCCTGACATCCCATGGGAGTGTTGCAATATTTTCCTCGGCGTTTTCGCCCAGCCTAGGGACCTGGCGAACGTTTCTGCACTCCCGGGCGATGGCGGGCGCCACCGGGGGGGCTGGGGGGGCGCGGAGCCGGTAACGTCACGGTTCGCGTTGGCGCCGTCTGTGGAACGTCCCAAAATAGCGAAAGACATCCCAGCACGAGCCGTGACATGACCTGGGGTGGAGGGAGGGGGGGGGGCGGCCAGGGCCAGGAACGGCCGGTATCGCGAACAACAAACAAGAGCGCTCTCCTTGCACCCTCACAGATCGATGCGGCTCGAGAGAAATGGCGCACAATGATGGGGATCTCGGGCTCTGGAGATGATTTGTGGCACCCGGGCGTCCCTCCCTGGTAGGATCAAATAGGGTGCGACCCAGGAGTCCAGCGAAAAGGGGGTGGTGCAATAGATTTGGTGCAATAGATTTGGGTTGTGCGAAATATTCCTGAGCGCAGATGTATTTCTGGGTTTTCGCGTGCAACGCTTTAGTTACAACAGAATGCAATGCATTTCTCTGTCGCAATACGTTTGCAGCATCATTGCCCCAAATCTATTGCACCACCCCCTTTCACCTAGACCATTTGTGCGTCATGGGGAGAATGGCGACGAAGGAGGCCAGCAGTTCCTGCCATTTTGAGCTGTACTCGCTGTCGGCGTCGTCGCGGGCGTCGTTCAGTTTTGAACTGAAAGGTCGCCTGCCCAACAGCGGCCGCTGTCAGTTAGGGACAGTGGGCATCGTACCCATGTTTGCCCGTACCCACTTCGAACGTGCCACGTGACGAAAACATGACGGACGGTTTTGTTCGGGCGCAGTCCGATTTTGTTTCTCGCGGGTAAACTGACTGGACTGGACTGGACTGCAATGAACTGAGCTGAACTGAAATGAACTGAACTGAACTGAATTGAACTGACTGGTCGCACTCGTGACGCGACGGTTTTATTCTCGGCGGCCGAGGGCGCAACCAATGGCGCCACTGATAGGAGACGGTTTTACATTCGGCCGCCGAGGCGCCACCTATGGCACAACTGGTAGGAGACGGTTTTATTCTCGACCGCCGAGGGCGCAACCTCTGGCCTAACCAATAGGAGACTGCTTTCTCATTGGCGGCCGAGGGCGCGATCTATGGCGCAACCAGTAGGAAACGGTTTTATTATCGCCGGCCGAGGGCGCAACCTATGGCGCAACCAATAGGAGACGGTCTGATCCTCGGCGGCCGAGGACGCAACCTATGGCGCACGTGATAGGAGACGCGCTTACGTTCGGCCACCTATGGCACAACCTATGACGCAACCGATAGGAGACGGTTTGCTTGTCAGCGGCCGAGGGCGCAACCTATAGCGCAACCAATCGGACACGGTTTCATTCTCGGCGGCCGCGGGCGTAATCTATGGCGCGTCCAGTAGGAGACGATTTTATTCTCGGCGGCCGAGGGCGAAACTTATTGCGCAACCGATGGGAGACGGTTTTACTAACGGCCTCCGAGGGCACAACCTATGGCGCAAATGATAGGACATGGTTTTACTTTCGGCCGCCGAGAGCGCAACCTATGGCACAATCGGTCGGGGACGGTTTTAATCTCGGCCGCCGAGGGCGCAACCTGTGACGCGATAGGAGACGGTTCTATTGTCGGCGGCCGAGGGCGCAACCTATGGCGAAACCCATAGGACACGGTTTATTCTCGGCGGTTGAGGGTGCAACTTATGGCGCAACCGAAAGGAAACGGTTTTATTCTCGGCCGCCGAGGGCGCAACTTATGGCGCAATTGGTTGGAGACGGTTTCACTATTGGCGGCCGAGGGCACAACTCATGACGCAGCCGTTGGGAGACGGTATGATTCTCGGCTGTCGAGGGCGCAAACGATGGCGCAACCTATCGGAAACGGTTTTATTATCGGCCACCAAGAGCGCAGCTATGGCGCAATTGGTTGGAGACGGTTTAGGGCGCAACCTATGACGCGACCGATCGGAGACGGTTTTATTCTCGGCCGCAGAGGGCGCAACCTTTGGCGCAACCGATTGGAGACGTTTTTGCTCTCGGCCACCGAGAGCGAGACGGCTTTATTCTCGGCCCCAGAGGGCTCAACCTACGGCGCAAGCGATAGGAGACGGTTTGATTCTCGGCGGCCGAGGGCGCAACCTATGGCGAAACCAATAGGACACAGTTTTATTCTCGGCGGTTGAGGGCGCAACCTATGGCGCAACCGATAGGAGACGGCTTTGCGCAACTTATGTGTGCCCCTGGTACGACCAGGACGCCGTCAACGCGCTCACCGTGCTCGGGGCCCGCGAGTTGCACGAGGATGTAGCGTAGGCATCCAAATTCGTGCGGGGCCACGCCCGATCTATGCTCGCCGCTCGGGCTGGCGGTGGGGCCCGAGCGGCGAGCTGTCTTCTGACTGGCGGTTCTCCGCCTCTGGGGCCCTCCCCTCGCCGGAAGAGCGGCTCGGTGTGAGAAGAGCGGGCCCCCGGGGAGTGGGTCGTGTCCTCTGGCGTGCCACGCCGTGAGATCAGAAGACAGCTCGCCGCTCGGGCCCCACCGCCGGCCCCAACGGCGAGCATAGATCGGGCGTGGCCCCGCACGAATTTGGATGCCTACGCTTCGTCCTCGTGCAACTCGCGGGCCCCCAGCACGGTGAGTGCGTTGACGGCGTCCTGGTCGCACCAGGGGCACACACACATAGTTTGCGCCCTCGGCCGCCGAGAGTAAAAAACCGTTCCTACCGGTTGCTCCATAGGTTGCGCCCTCGGCCGCCGAGAATGAAAAAGTTTCTCTTCGGTTGCGCCATAGGTTGCGCCCTCGGCGGCCGAGAATAAATACGTTTGCTATCGGTTGCGCCATAGGTTGCGCCCTCGACGGCCGAGAACAAAAACGTTTACTATCGGTTGCGCCAAGGGTTGCGCCCTCTGCGGCCGAGAATAAAACCGTGTCCGATTGTTTGCCCCATACGTTGCGCCCTAAACCGTCTCCTGTTGGTTGCGCCATGGGTTGCACCCTGGGCGGCCGAGACGCATCGAACCCCAATCGCCCGTTGATCGCCGATAGGGGCCCGATGGCCCACCCCGCCCAGGAGCGTTCTGATTTGGAGTCGGCGGCCTGTCGCCGATCCATTCGGGTCGGGCGAAAGGGGGGGTTTGGGGAAGGGGGGGTTACGAAATCTGCTGCATGTAGCTGGTTTCGGCCCCACCGAGGGGCCCGTTCCTCGATACATAGCCACCTCCGGCGCCGGGAGGCGCCGGGAAAATCAGCTACGCGAGCTGATTCTCAAATCCCCCCTTTGCTATCCCCCCCTTTCGCCCGACCCGATCCATCGCCGATGCTTCCCCACTTGAGCGGGCCCCCCTTGACGTTCACCCTCACACGGGAGGGGGCGGGCCCTGGAGCCGACTCGAGCAATCCTCGCGTGCCTCCGAGAGTTTCTGCTTGTGCTGCTTCTTCTTCCTCTACTTCCGCCCCCCACCCCAAGGCCACGCACCAAAGGAGTGTGGGGGCTGTCTCCATCGCCAACCCATCGGCGACGTGCCGCCGATGCTGGGGCGCTGCTTCCCCCGCCCTGAGCCAGTCCGCCCCGCCCCGCTCGGCCCCCCCCCCCGCAGAGCTCGGTCGGGCCTGGGGAGCGGCACGCGCTCCGGAGAGCTCTGGCACGGCCGCGGCGCCCGAGGCATCCTGCAGAGCACCGCTGGACCTCAGAGGCCCCACATTTGCCCCGACCTGCTTGGCTTAAGTCGGGCCTGTCCCCCTACAGGGGGATTTTCGACGAAAAATGAAAAATACACTGAAAATATCTGCATTTTTCCCCACATCCTGAGTGGTTCTTGTTTTCCCAGAACATCCTCTCCTTCTTCCTCCCGCCTCCCGCCTCCCATATCAATACCATGCCTACCATTCCAGCCTCCCAGATCATACCATGCCTACAATTCCATACCATACCTACCATACCATACCATACCCTCCAGGGAGGCCCCGCCTGAACGAGGAGGGTATCGGAAACCTAGACTATTTGCATGGTTTCGTGCCCTTCCCACCCCTCCAGGGAGGCCCCGCCTGAGCGAGGAGGGTATCGGAAACCCATACTCTTTACATGGTTTCGTGCCCCTCCCACCCCTCCAGGGAGGCCCCGCCTGAGCGAGGAGGGTGTCGGAAACCCATACTCTTTACATGGTTTCGTGCCCCTCCCACCCCTCCAGGGAGGCCCCGTCTGAGCGAGGAGGGTATCGGGAACCGATGCTATTTACATGGTTTCGTGCCCCTCCCTCCCCTCCAGGGAGGCCCCGCCTGAGCGAGGAGGGCATCGGAAACCCATACTCTTTACATGGTTTCGTGCCCCTCCCACCCCTCCAGGGAGGCCCCGCCTGAGCGAGGAGGGTGTCGGAAACCGATGCTATTTACATAGTTTCGTGCCCTTCCCACCTCTCCAGGGAGGCCCCGCCTGAGCGAGGAGGGTATCGGAAAACCATACTATTTACATGGTTTCGTGCCCCCCCACCCCTCCAGGGAGGCCCCGCCTGAGCGAGGAGGGTATCGGAAACCAATGCTATTTACATGGTTTCGTGTCCCTCCCCCCTTCCAGTGGGGCCCCGCCAGAGCGAGGAGGGTATCAAGAATTTGTACTATTTACAAGGCTTCGTTTCCTGAGCACCTGTCCTCCCTCCTCCTTTCTTTCGTCTGCCCTTTCGTGCGTACTTACTCGTTCGATGAGCTTCTCCTTCGTGTTGATGTTGTCGTACCCCATGGGTCCCACGAAACCATTAATATCTTTATGTGGGGAATTCCGTTACCATTTTTTTTTTTCCGTCGAAAATCCCCCTCCCCGCGCAGAGAGCTGCACTCCTCGGCGCGCGCGGCCGCGGGCCCCGGGCAGGGCCGCGGCCCTGCGCCGGCGCACTCCTCGCGCCTGCCGGGCCGCTCCCCGCGCGCGCCACCGAGGCCCGGCACGGAGGACTCCGCGTTCTCGGGGGGCGGGATGATCTTCTCGCAGGCCAAGGGCTGGCCGAGCCCCCGGCCCCCTGCAGGAGGAGCGGAGAGGAGCAGAGGCAGCGAGGAGGAGGAGGAGGAGGAGGAGGAGGAGGAGGAGGAGGAGGAGGAGGAGGAGGGAGGGGAGGGGGAGGAGGGGGAGGAGGAGGAGGAGGAAGGAGGAGGGAGGAGGAGGAGGAGAGGAGGAGGAGGGGCTGGAGGAGGAGGAGAAGGAGGAGGAGGAGGAGGAGAAGGAGGAGGAGGAGGAGGAGGGGCTGGAGGAGGAGAAAGAGGGGGGGCAAGATTATGAGGAGGGTGCTTCCTTAGAGCCAGATTTGCTCCACGCCGACGGCGCTGATACATCTCCGACGACGCCGATTTATCGCCGCTGCATCGGCGATGCATTTGCGATGCGGTGCGATCTTCCGACCCCATCTGGGATGCCTCTAATCACGACAGGCGGTCATTGGCAATGTTGGACCTCGGGATGAAAAGCAGGTCCTGGGGAAGGGGTCTTGACTTTGGGGCGGATGAAGGGTGAAGAAATGGCCCCTTCTTGCGCCCAGCAGGGCCCTAAGGTCCCTTTAAGGCTATTTTCTCCACCCCCCACCAAGACAAGGACGAGGACTGAGGCCCGGGCTTGACGAGGAAATGGGGGTGGGAACCTGGGGCAGGAGAACGACAAGTGAGATGCCGAAGCGACAGCGCGACAGCAGCAGCGCGGCTGTGGAAGGAGGAAGAGGCCAACAACGAAAGAGTCATGATGAGAAGGGAATGTGGCGATCAGTTCCCAGCGGCACGCTGGACAGTCAGCGCGATCCGCGCCATGTTGCTCTCGCGCACCAGAGGACCAGCTGCTCATAGCTAGTACAAAATCGAGCGAGGCCGAGCTCGACGGCAGCGTCTCCGCTTCTCCCCTGCACGTACTCAGCGCGGGAGTTAAACGCCTACGGGCGCGCCGCCAGGTCCACGAGCGGCGGGAAATATGAAGCAGCGTAGGATGTCGCTACGTTGAACCCCCCAGCAGCCTTCGAAAGTGGCGACAGTACACTTCGCAGACCCCCCAGGGATGGCGAGGTCTAATCTGAGTCTGCGCGGGGCGCCTCTGCGCTGAAACCCCAGTAACCCTCGAAAGCGACGGCATGTTCGCAGTTCGTACCCCCCAGGGGTCGCGAGGTCCACTCTGAGTCCGCGTCGTGTACCAGCGCGCTGGACCTCCAGCAGCCCTCGAAAGAGGCGACTGGTTCGCACTTCGCTGCCCTCCAGGGATGGTGAGCTCCGGTCTGAATCCGCGTAGGACGTCACTATATTGGTCCCCCAACGGGCGTCTAAAGTAGCAAGTGTGTCGCACACCGCAGCACTTCAGAAATGAGGAGGTCGAAGCAGAACGTGCGTTTGACGTTAGAATGATGGACCCCAGCAGCCCTCGACCATGGCAACAGACTTACAGTTCGCAGCCCCCCAGGGATGAGGCGTAGCTTGAGTGTGCACGGGACGTCACTGTGCTGGACCCCTCCAGCAACCTTTGAAAGTGACGGCGGCGGGGCAGTTCGCATACCCCCACCCCACCCCACCCCCAGGGATGGCGATGTTTATCTAGTTTGCATCAGGGTAGGACACCAGTGGGCTGGATCCCCCAGCAACTTTCGAACGTGTCGACAGTTTCGGAGTTCTCAGCCCCCCCAAGGGATAGTGGGATCGAATCTGCATCTGCGTAGGACGTCATTGTATTGAACCCTCCTGTAGCGTTCGAGCGTGGCGACGGTCTCGTTGCTCGCAGCCGTCCAAAGGGAGTTGTGAGGTCGCCTTTGCATGTGCGCAGGACGTCACTATGCCCCAGTAGCCCTCGAAAGTCGCGACAGCGTCGCAGTTCGCAGCCCCACCCCCCAGGGATGGCGAGGTCCAAACTGGATCTGCGTAGGACATCCCTGTGCTGGACCCCCCAGCAGCCATCGACAGTGGCAACAGTCTCGCAGTTCGCAGCCACCCAGGGGTGGCGAGGTCGCATGTGAATCTGCGTAGGACGCCACTATGCTGGACCCCCCAGCAATCCTCCAACGCTGGGACAGATCCGCAGATTGCAGTCCCCTCCCCCTCTCGGGATGGTGAGATCGGATATGACTTTGCGCAGGACGTCACGATGGTGGACCCCACAACAGCTCTCGACAGCGGCGACAGCTTCGCACATCGCAGACCCCCCGGGATGGTGAGGTTTAGTTTCAATGTGTGCAGAAATCCACTATGCTGGACACCCCAGAAGCCTTCGAAAGCGGCGGCAGTTTCGTAGACCGCAACCCCCCAGGGGCGACAGCTTCGTGGATCGCAACCCCCCAGGGATAGAGAGGTCGAACCGGAATTTGCGCAGGACGTCCTTATGTTGGACGCTCCAGTGGCCCTCGGAAGCGGCGACACCGTCGCAGTTCGCAGCCCCTCCCCCCTTGGATGGTGCGGTCGATTTTGGGTTAGCCCACGCGTCACTTCGGTTGAAGGCTCAGCGGTCCTCGAAAGTGGCGACACGCTCGCAGATCGCAGCCCGTCAACAATGGCGAGGCCGACCTGAGTCTGCGTAGGACGTCACTATACCCGAACCCCGGCAGCCTTCGAACGTGACGACAATTCCGCAGATCGCATCGACCCCGCGCACAGATGGCGCGGTCGAACCTGCTTTGCGCAGGACGCCACCTTGTTGGGCCCCACAGAAGCTTTCGAAAGCGGCGAGAGTCCCGCAGCAGTTCGCAGGCCCCCAGGGACGGTGAGGAGAATCCGCGTTGGATGTCCGTAGATTGGACCCCATCAGCAGGCTTCGAAAGCGGCGAAAGTTTCGTAGATGCAGCCATCAGGGATGGTGAGATCGAACCTGAATCTGCTTAGGAGTTCACTATGCTGGATCCCCAAGCAGCTCTCGAAAGCGGCGACAGCGTCGCAGATCGCAGCGCCCCACGGATAGTGGGGTTTGATTTGAATTTGCGTAGGAATTCATTCTGCTGGGGCCCCCAGCAGCCTTCGAAAGTGGCGACAGCTTCGTAGATAGCAGCCCCCCAAGGATGGTGAGGTTTAGTCTGAAGCTGATGAGGACGTCTCTATGCTGAAGCCCCCGGCACCACCCTTAGAACATGGCGACAGTGTCGCAATTCACAAACCCCCAGGGGTGGTGAGGTCGAATCAGAATCTGCGCTGAACGTCAGACTGCTGGACTCCTCAGCAGCCCTCGCTCATAGCGACCCGTTCACAGATCGCATCGACCCCCCTCCCCCCAAGGATGGTAAGGTCTAGCCCGAATCGGCGTAGGATTCCACTATGGTGGAACCCCCCGCAGCTTTCTAAAGTGGCCACAGCTTCGCAGATGGACTAGTAAGTCGAATCTGAATGCTGGACCCCCAGCAGCCCTCGAAAGTGGCAGCAGTTCCGCACACCGCAGCCCCCAGGGATGGGACGGGAAGGTCGAATCTGAAATTACGTAGGACGTCACTATGCCATGCCCCCCAGCTGCCCTCGCAAGTGGCGACAGCTTCGTACATCGCAGCCCCCATAGGGACGGCGACGTGAAATCTGAAGCTGCGTAGAAAGTCTGGATGCTGGACACCCCAGCAGCCCTCGAAAGTGGCGACACTTTCGCAGATCGCAGTGAGCCCCCCAGGCAGGCGGAAAGGAGGGGGAGGAGGAGGAAGGTCTCGTTCGCGGCCGCCCAAGGACGGTGGGGTCACGTAGCACGGCCAGGTAAGAGGCGGGCAGGAAGGGAGAGAGGACAAGAGGGGTGGGAGGCGAGAGACGCGTGGGCAGTGCTCCATTCACAACGGGGACCCACAAGGCAGGAGGCTTGGTAACATTATCCTGGCGAAGGACTCAGCCATATGCAGTTGTGAGTACCGTCGTTGCGGGCATCGCCTCCGGGTGATCTCCTCATGGGGCCATGGAGCATGCGAAGGGTGTGCCGATTTGGGGCGAGGCCGCCATGTGGGCGCCACCACTGGGGCTTTGGGTAGAACCCACTATGTGGCCGCGAAACGCGCGAGCTGTGCGCCGCAATGGGGCGGGGCCGCCACTAGGGCCTTCGGTGGAGCTCCCCACGGGACCACGAAGCGCGGTACTGAGTGGGGGACGCATGTGGACACCGCCTGTGGCCTTCGATGGAGCTCCCCCCTATGGGGCCACGAAGCGCTGCTTTGGGCGGGGGCGACGCATGCGAACGCCGCCACTGAGGCCTTTGGTGGAGTCCCCTATGGGGTCACGGAGCTCTGTACGGGGTGGGGGATACGAATGTGAACACCGCCGCTGAGGCCTTCGGTGGAGCTCCCTACGGGGCTACGAAACGCTGCATTGGGTGGGGCAACCGCATGCGGACGCCGCCACTGAGGCCTTCGGTGGAGCTCCCTACGGGGCCACGAAACATTGTACTGGGTGGGGGGGGCGCATGCAAACACTGCCACTGAGGCCTTCGGTGGGGGGGCCACGACGCGTTGTACTGACCGCCATTGAGGCCTTCGGTGGAGGTCCCCCCTTTCGGGCCACGGAGAGCTGTGCTGGATGAGGGAACGGCATGCGAACACCGCCATTGGGGCTGTCGATGAAGCTCCTCATATGGCCACGGAGCAGCATGAACACCGCCACTGAGGCCTCCGGTGGAGCTTCCTATGGGGCCACGAAACGTTGTAGTGGGTGCGGGAACCGCATGCGAACACAGCCACTGAGGCCTTCGGTGGAGCTCCCTATGGGGCCACGAAGCGGTGTATTGGCTGGGGGGGACGCTCGCAAACACCGCCACTGAGGCCTCCGGTGGAGCTTCCTATGGGGCCACGAAACGTTGTAGTGGGTGCGGGGACCGCCTGTGAATATCGCCACTGAGGCCTTCGGCGGGGCGCCCTATGGGGCCACGAAACTCTGTACTGGGTGGGGACACCGCATGCCAACACAGCCACTAAGGCCTTCAGTGGAGCTGCCCACGGGGCCACGAAACGTTGCACTGGGTGGGGGAACCGCATGCGGACACCGTCACTGAGGCCTTCGGTGGAGCTCCCTACGGGGCCA